GTGGGGGGAAAGGGGAAATGTGGAGGAAATGGGAGAAATGTGGAGGAAAGGGGAAATGTGGGGGGAAAAGGGGGAAATGTGGGGGGAAAGGGGAAAATGTGGAGGAAATGGGGAAATGTGGGGGGAAATGGGAAATGTGGGGGGAAAAGGGGTAAATGTGGAGAAAATGGGGAAATGTGGGGGGAAAAAGGGGGAAATGTGGAGAAAAGGGGAGAAATGTGGAGGAAAAGAGGAGAAATGTGGAGGAAATGGGGAAATGTGGGGGGAAAGGGGAGAAATGTGGAGGACAAGGGGATAAATGTGGAGAAGAAGGGGAGAAATGTGGAGGGAAAAGGGAGAAATGTGGAGGGAAAAGGGGTAAATTTGGAGAAAAGAGGATAAATATTGAGGAAAGGGATAAATGCAAAGGAAAAGGGGAGAAAAGTGGAGGAAGAGGGGTAAATGCGGAGGAAAAGGGGAGAAATGTGGAGAAAAGGGGTAAATGTAGAGAAAATGGAATAAATGTGGAGAAAAGGGGATAAACCTAGAGGAAAAGGGGCAAATGTGCAGGAAAGGGGATAAATTTGGAGGAAAAGAGGATCAATGTGGAGAAAACGGAAAATGTGGAGGAAAAAGGATAAATGTGGAGAAAATGGATAAATGTTGAGGAAAAGGGGTAAATGTAGAGAAAAGGGGATAAATGTAGAGGGAAAGGGGATAAATGTGGAGAAAATGGATAAATGTAGAGGAAAAGGGCAGAAATGTGGCTCTGCGCTGACCGAATGTGGCAGGGCCCCAGCTGTTCCAGCTGTGCCCGGCCTCGGGCAGGGAAAACCCCCAGGAATGTCCCTCCCTTGTCCTTTCCCTGTCCCCAGAATGTCCCCCCGGCCCCGGGGCCCCGCTCACCGCAGTAGCCCGGTGTCCCACACACGGTTTTCATGGTGTCCTGCTCGTCCAGGATCTTGGAGAGCCCGAAGTCACCTTGCAGGGACACGAGAGAGTGGCACTGCCTGTCGGAACTCAAAATGTCCCTCAGACATTTTTAGAGGTTCCAGGCCTTGGTCAGAAGCATTTGAGACCCTGGCACAGCTGCAAACAGCTGTGATTTTGGGTTTGAGCCATAGGATGAGTTACCAACCTTGGAGGTGGAACAAGCAGTCACAAAGGGTTAGATAGGATAGTAAAAGTAGTTACAAAACAGAGGGGAAATTTTTTTGTGTTGTACAGGGGGGTTTTAGCACCTGTCCAGGGGGATTTTTACTTTGTACATGGGGGTCAGAAGTTCTAAGATGGAGGAAAGTGGGCTGATCCTGTTCTTCCTCTTTCTTCTTCCTTGCCTCCATGTTCTTGGTGATGTTGGCACTCACAGATTGGTTTAGAGTAGAAAAGCACTTTGTAATGTAGGTAGTAGGTATTGGGGGAAAATCATAAACATGTAATTTGTAATATATCATATAAAAGATAGTAATGCACTATTTAATATAGGTAATAGGCATTGTGGAAAAACTGTAAAGGTTTAAAATGCAATATATCATATAAAAGAGAGCAGCAGCCCTGGGCAGGGGGAGAGAAGAAGACACAGACAGGGAGGATGTCAGGGTGTGTGTGTGCCTCTGCCTGAGCTGTGAGCAAACCCCAATAGCCAAAAAAGAAAATCTTTTAGATAAATCGCAATAAACTGCCTCGAGACCCAACAACAGAGACTGCTGATTTTTTTTTGGAAGCTCGGGCTGGAGGAGGGAATTTCCACCACACGGGACCCCAGAGCAAGGCCGGGGTTCTCACACTGCATCAGGGTGGGCACGGGGGGCTCCAACCCCCGGGTCCCCAACCCACCGATCTTGAGGGGCGCCTCGGGGGACAGGTCTGCGTACAGGAGGTTCTCCGGCTTCAGGTCCCGGTGGACGACTCCGTTCTGGTGCAAATACTGCAAAAAAGAGTGATTTATGAAAAAAATATGGATGTTGATCTAGTATCGATAGCCACCTGTGAGGGACAAAACCTCTCTAACAGTTTAAAGTTAGAAAATGATTTCTTATAAAAAATATGAATATTGATCTAGTATCGATAGCCAACTGTGAGGGACAAAAACTCTCTAACAATTTAAAGTTAGGAAGTGATTTATGAAAAAAATATGGATATTCATCTAGTATTGATACCTAACTGTGACGGACAGAAACTCTCTAAGAGTTTAAAGTTAGAAAGTGAATTATTATAAAAAATATGAATATTGATCTAGTATCGATACCCAGTTGTGAGGGACAAAAACTCTCTAACAGTTTAGAAATTGATTTATTATAAAAATATGGATATTGATCTAGTATCGATACCCAACTGGGACGGACAAAAACTCTCTAACAGTTAAAATTAAAAAGTGTGTGTTTATTGTGTGTGGGATGGCTCCCAAATCCACACCACACCTCTCAGGTGATTACAGAGCCCTTTTATCCATACAAGTGTTGAATACCCAAAATACAAATACATATTCATCATTTTGGTAGCTCCCATTCCTCCTATGCAAATCATTTCAAAAGTTATTCGGCATGCATAATTTGTTCCTTGAAATGGGTCCGTGTCCCTTCCCAAAATGAGGAAGTCAATGAAGTCTTCCTCCTTCTGACCTTTCTACCTTTTCAATGCAAAAATGACAAATGAACTCTTGGTAGAACTTCTCCCATTCCTTGTCTTCAATTGGTTTCAGAGCAGAGGAGCCCCACAATTGTCTTATTTTTATTGTCTTATTTACTTCCTAAAAGCTATTTGTCACTTTCTGTGCTCTTCATCATCATTTCTTCATTATATTCTTCATTATCAACCCAGCTAACTAAACATTGTGCTGACGACCAATCAATTATTAGTTAACTATTAACTCTTAACTTCATCAAGGCCTACTAATTTATTTTAATTAACTCTAGTAAGGCTTATCTCAGACTAAAATCTTGGCTTTTCTAAATCTCTAAATTCCTTAAAATTTACGTTGCAAGAGGAGAAAAGGGGGATGTGAAAAGGAAGGGAACAGCCCCGGGGGCAGCAGTTGGGAACAATCCCCTGGATCCTTGTCCAGGCAGGAGTTGCCATGTTGGAAACGCTCCTGCTGCCATGGAAAGTCTGGGATGAAGAGCAGCCCTGACCTTCCTCCTTCCTTCTCCTCATCCTCACTGAGAGCAGATCCCTCTCCTCCCAGCCAAGGCCAAGGTGAGCGGACAAATGAGGTGTTTGGGATGGAGCAGCTCCAGGAACTTCTCCCCAGGAATATTTGGGATGGGGGCAGCTCCAGGAACTTCACCCCTGGGATATTTGGGATGGGAGAAGCTCCAGGAACTTCACCCCTGGGATATTTGGGATGGGGGCAGTTCTGGGTGCCTCTCCCCTGGGAAATTTGGGATGGGGCAGCTCCAGTTCCTCTCTCCATGGAAATTTGGGATGGGAGCAGCTCCAGGCACTTCACCCCTGGGATATTTGGGATGAGGCAGTTCCAGAAACTTCTCCCCAGGGAAATTTAGGATGGGAGAAGCTCCGGGTACCTCTCCCCAGGGATATTTAGGATGGGAGCAGCTCCAGGAACTTCTCCCCAGGGAAATTTGGGATGAGGCAGCTCCAGGCACTTCTCAGGAATATTTGGGATGGGGCAGTTCCAATCACTTCTCCCCAGGGATATTTGGGACAGGGGCAGTTCTGGTGCCTCTCCTCAGGGAAATTTGGGATGAGGCAGCTCCAGGAACTTCACCCAGGGATATTTGGGATGGGGCAGCTCCGGGTGCCTCTCCCCAGGGAAATTTGGGATGGGGCAGCTCTGGGTGCCTCTCCCCAGGGATATTTGGGATGGGGCAGCTCCGGGTGCCTCTCCCCAGGGATGTTTGGGATGGGGCACCTCTGGGTGCCTCTCCCCAGGGATATTTGGGATAGGGCACCTCTGGGTGCCTCTCCCCAGGGAAATTTGGCTGCAGCCCCCCCGGTGGGGTGTCCCCAGGGCCACGTTACCGAAACCGCCTCCAGGATCTGCTTGACCACGTGCGCCGCATCCCGCTCGCTGTAGAAGCCCCTCTCCACAATCCTGTGGGCACACGGAGCCTTCAGCCCCCTCCATCCTCCTCCTCCTCCTCCTCCCCCACTCCCCCGGGGCCGATCCGTACCTGTCGAAGAGTTCTCCCCCCGTCACCAGCTCCAGCACCAGCGCGATCTCCGAGGGCGTCTCGAAAATCTCCTTCAGCTTGATCTGGAAAGGGGGACAGGAGGGATTTCGGGATGCGGGCTGGGGCACGGGGGATGTGGGATTTGGGAACAGCCCTGGCTGTGCCGGGACGAGGCTGTGACCAGCTGGGAGGGTGGAAAGGCTTATTTCAGGGCAAACATTTCCTTCTTCTCTTCGGTTTTTCCCCACTCTTGATTTGTTTCCACCTGAATTTTTTGGAATTGTTCGCAGCAGTCCTGCTCGACACAGATGAAAGATGAATCTGGGAATGTGCAGAGCCCCGATCCTCTTCACATCTCCCAGCTTGGTTGCCAGCATTGGAATTTTGGACCTCCGTGGGCACCTCCATCCAGCCCCGTTGGAATTTTGCTCCTCCTGAGCACCTCCATCCAGCCCCGTTGGAATTTTGCACCTCCATCCAGCCCCGTTGGAATTTTGCACCTCTGATCCAGCCCCATTGGAATTTTGCTCCTCCTGAGCACCTCCATCCAGCCCCATTGGAATTGTGCCTCCACAGCCCATCTGGAATTAACAATTTTATGTCCTAAAGCGACATCCAAATGCAATTTTTCCTTTTTCTTTTTTTTCCCCCCACTTTTTTTTTTTTAATTTTTTTTTTTTTTTTTTTTTTTTTTTTTTTTTTTTTTTTTTTTTTTTTTTTTTTTTTTTTTTTTTTTTAACCCAAGAATTTCACGCTTCTTAAGACTTTTGTGACAGTGCGAATTTCATGGGGCTTTAATCATTCCCTTCCCAGGCTGGGTGACAAGCCGTGATCCCCCGTGGGGTGAGAGACACTATGTGGCAGCTTATTGCATTATAATAATACACGGAGCACTATAATTTTCCTATTAACTTCAAAAGTTTACAATCCTATTATATCAGCCGCTGCCGAGGTCGGTGCTGGCATCAATAATGGAGCAGAGCAGCTCCTCTTCAAACATCACTTGAACCTGGGATGAGCAGAACCCCACGGAAACCTCGGGGATTTAAATATTCCAACGGGTTGGATCCTCCTCCGTGGCTCCAAGGAGCTGCTGCCTGGAGAGGGGAGGGAGGAAATTGGATTTTCTGTGGTGCTCCTGATAACACATCAGAGAGGAGCCTCTTCCCATCCACGAGTGTGATTCCCATCCTGGCTGTCAGCCCTGCTGTCCTAGGATGGGGGAAATATCTCCATGGAAGAGGCTGAAGCACCAAATTGTCCTAAAACACTGAAACACCCCAAAACAGGCCCACGCTGAGCTGGTTGAGAGGTTTAGAGGTGACACATCCTCAGTGCTTTCAGCTCTGTTTTTTTTGGGGATGTTTGGGATTTCTCTTGGTTTCATCTCTTGGCGTGAAGGTTTTGGGCTTCTGCAAAGAAAGCTCTGAGGATGGGTGCCCAGGGTTTGAGGGGTGCTGCAGCTTGAGCAGTGGCAAGGTGATGTCCCAGTGATGTCCCAACAATGTCCCAGCGATGTCCCAACAATGTCCCAGTGATGAAGCACCAAATTGTCCTAAAACACTGAAACACCCCAAAACACACCCACGCTGAGCTGGTTGAGAGGTTTAGAGGTGACACGTCCTCAGTGATTTCAGCTCTTTATCTGGTTTTTTTTGGGGATGTTTGGGATTTCTTCTGGCTTCATCTCTTGGCGTGAAGGTTTTGGGATTCTGCAGAGAGCAAAGCTCCAAAGATGGGCTGGGAGCAGCCATGCCCAGGGTTTGAGGAGTGCTGAAGCTTGAGCAGAAGCAGCCAGTGGCAAGGCAATGTCCCAGTGATGTCCCAACAATGTCCCAGCGGTGTCCCGATCCCAATCCCAACAGGAGCAGGGCCTGTCCCAACCCTCAGCCCCACGGCAGCTCCCAGGTGGTTTTTTGGTGTCATTTCCTTCACCCGAGTGTTCTCCAAGATCCTTTTGCAATCTCCCAGTGGAGCCATGCAGTCGGGAATGAGCTTTTTTTGGGAGGTGGGGGCTCCGTTGCATCCCAGAGGGGCTCTGCTGGCCCTGGCTGGATTAGATCTGCTCCAAGGCTGCTCCAGTTGGGAGTGCTGAGCAAGGGAACAACCCAGCCCCAGCCCTTTTATCTCCCCTGGCAGGATTCATTACAGACAGGCCATTTTCCCTGGGATTCATTTGATCTCCTCATGAAAATTGCCTGCATGGTGGAAATCTCAAGGCAGGGTGTGGGAAGGGGGAGGATAGGGTGGGTGGGGGGGGGGAGTCCTTGGATATCCTTGGACTTGGATGTGGGAGCTGGGAGCTGAAAGGAGCTGCAAGGAACAGGAATTTCATGTGGCAGCCAGAAGGGAATCACCTGGATGCTGTCAGTGAGGCAGGGAGCTCTTGGAACTCAAAATGTCTCACAGATATTTTTACAGGTTCCAGGCCTTGGTCAGAAGCATTTGAGACCCTGGCACAGCTGCAAACAGCTGTGATTTTGGGTTTGAGCCATGGAATGAGTTACCAACTTTGGAGGTGGAACAAGCAGTCACAAAGGGTTAGATAGTATAGTAAAAGTAGTTACAAAACAGAGGGGAAATTTTTTAGTATTGTACAGGGGGGTTTTAGCACCTGTCCAGGGGGGTTTTTACTTTGTACATGGGGGTCAGAAGTTCTAAGATGGAGGAAAGTGGGCTGATCCTGCTCTTTCTCCTTCTTCTTCCTCACCTCCATGTTCTTGGTGCTGTTGGCACTCACAGATTGGTTTAGAGTAGAAAAGCACTTTGTAATGTAGGTAGTAGGTATTGGGGGAAAACTATAAACATGTAATATGTAATATATCATATAAAAGAGAGCAGCAGCCCTGGGTGGGGGGAGAGAGAAGAAGAAGACAGCAGACAGGGAGGATGTCAGGGTGTGTGTGTGCCTCTGCCTGAGCTGTGAGCAAACACAGCAGCCCCAGAAGAAAATCTTTTAGATAACTCACAATAAACTGCCTTGAGACCCAACAACAAGAGGCTGTGGAGTTTTCTTTGGAAGCTCGGGCTGGAGGAGGGAATTTCCACCACACGAGACCCCTGACCAAGCCTGGGGTTCTCACAGGGAGGGTTTTCCATGGGGTTCAGGGTGGGTTTTCCATGGGCTGGTGCCTTCATCCTGCATCAAGACAGGATGAAACCCAGGACATTCCAACTCTTCCCTCAGCACTGGGCTGAGTTAAGGGCAAACCCACCCCAGCAGCCGTGGCCCCGACCCAGAGGGAGGTGGCAGCTGTGTCACGGGGGTCCTACTCACGATGTTGGGGTGCGAGAGGCGCAGCAGGACCCCGATCTCCGTCCTCACGATCTTTTTGTCGATCTGGGAGGCAGAGCTTGTGTCACCTGCACTGCCAGGCCTGGCTCAGGCTCCCCACCATACAGAGACCCCTCACTACCCCCAGCACGTTCCCAGAGCTCACCCCCACCCCAAATCTCAGCTCCTTTGTCCACGTGGGACCCTCAGGCTGTGCCCGGTGCCAGCCCCACGCCCATCCCGGTACCGAGGGGTGGGGAGGAGAGAAACCACCAGCCCTCCCCCCCCAGCTCCCTGGTGCTCACCCTTCCCCTCCCCAGCCCCTCTCCTGCCCCACTCACCGTTTTCTTCAGGATCTTGGCAGCGTAGGGAGCTCCCGTGCCCTTCTCCTGGCAGCTGAACACCACTGAGGTGGCTCCCCTGGAGGGCGGGGGGGACGAGAGGCTGGCACAGAGCTGGGGGTCCCGCTCCCCCTGTGCCCCCCACCAGCACCTTTGGCAGTGCCAGGCCCTGGGAGCTCAGCATGGATCCCACTCTTCTTCATGGATCCCCCTGCTCCTGCATCCCCCCATTGCTGAATTCCCCTCCTGTACCTCTCCCCTGTGGGACTCAGATTCAGTCAAAGAAAGAAAATGAGAATTTGTGGCCAGGCAGGAGCCTGGGAAAGAGCTGGGAAAGAATGTAAATAATTCTTTATCTCTCTTGTTGTTCACACTGTTTATAGTTAAGTTCTATCACTGTGCATCAAGCACTTTGCACCAATGCTGTGGGTTGTTTTCACTTCAGAACCAATGGATTTGATCCTTGTGAAGCTCTGTATAAAAGAGCAGTGTATTTTGAATAAATCAGAGTTTTACTCTCAGGAGTTGATCCTCACGAAGCTCTGTATAAAAGAGCAGTGTATTTTGAATAAATCAGGGTTTTACTCTCAGCAGCCTTCTGAGTCAGAATCTTCTCATTCCCGTCCTGCCTTGACAGCGACACTGCCCTTCATCCCCACCCCACATCCCCTTCCTGCACCCCCTCCTGATGCGTCTCTCTCCCGCATCCCCCTCCCGGCTCTCCCGGCTCAGCTATTTTAATTAAACCCGACTTCTAGAGGGGCTTTAAATCCTGAATCGCGACACGACGGAGCCGCCGTGTCCCCGCTGCGGGTGACACCGGGACCGGGGCCGCCGCCGCCGGTGGCGATCTCAGCTCGAGTTAATCGCCATTCCCGAGCTCTGGACTCATTTGCAATTCCATCTCCCTGCCCGGCTCCCGGAGCAGATTCATTCCTGCCCCCGAGTCATCGGCCGCGTTTTGGCTTCGCCGCCTTCGGGGACGCAGCTCAGGCTGTGCCTGGAGGTGCCCGATAAAATCAGATCCCCAAAAGCACCGACTTTCATACCAAAACCTCCCGCGAGCCCACCAGCATCCCCTCAGGCATCCCCCCGCGCTCCCGGGTGCTCTCCTGAATGAGGGATTTGTCTTCAAAGCCAGAGCAGATTTTGCAACTCCTCCGGCTGAATTTGGGAACGGCGTTCCCATGGCAACGGGTACCAGGCTCGTCCGGGATGCTGCGGGATCCAGGAACCCCAGCCCCGCCCAGCTTCAGATCATTTCCTCCCTTGTGCCGCACATCCTCCGTGAAACTTCAGTTTACAAATAAAAAGTGATTTGGAGAGGAATTGTTGCAGCTGGGAGGGGCGGGGCGGCCACCACCTGCTCCAGCTCGGGAAAAAAGGGCAAAATCTGCAATTTGACCCCAAAATGGCATCGCTGCTGCTGCGACCGCCACAACAACGCTTTTCCACGAGGTTATTTTGGAATTTCCCAGCTGGGCTGGTGCCGGGGCAGGACCTTCCACCCCCTCTCCACAGCTGAATCCCAGGCAGGATCTGTCTCCTCTCACCCTCCCTCTCGGCTTTTCCGCACGGACAATTCCCAGCCCGATTCCCGCCGCTAACGAGATCATTTAGGAGCGCTCGGCTCGGCGTTTAGGAGGGCTCGGGGTGGCTCCTGTGCCCGCTGTGCCCGCGGCGCTGCCCCTCACACGTCCCCAATTAGGGCAGCGCTCGGCTCCGAGCCGGAATTCGCCACACCTCGGCCCCCGCAGCCGCCGCTCGAGGCCTCAAATAAACATCCCCAATCAGCCTTGCCTGGACATAATTGCATTTGTTTTCCAGATGAACTGGAAAATGTCGAACGATGGGATTTGCAGAGTCTGGAACGTGCCGGGTTGGGTCCTCCCTGCTGTCCCCACGTCCCCACCCGGCTCCCTCCATCCCTCTCCTGCTTCCTGGAGCTTCCCGGCCAGAGCTGGGCCAGCCTTGCCAGGAGAGGCTCTAAGGGAGACCCCTGCATGGAGAGTGGGCTCCCAGCAGCCCAAATCCCACCCAGATCCCAACGCGCCGTGAGTGGGTGGCTCCAGCACTGAGAGCCAGCCTGATATAAATCTGGTGCTGAAACTGGATGGATGGATGGATGGATGGATGGATGGATGGATGGATGGATGGATGGATGGATTCCAAGGGCTCCAGACCTGTCCTTCTGTCCTACGTCCCCCTGTGCAGGGCTGGGTGCTGCCAAGCCCTGCGCTGATGTGGCCACACCTCGATACAAACCCCTAAATTCCTGCTTTCACCAAAACTGCTGCTTCTCAGGATCCTCTGAGGATGGAAACCCAGAGGCAGCAGGGCCACCAAATCCCGTTGTTCCGAGCCGAGGCAGCACTTCCTCCCCCCACTGGAACAGCCCAGAGCCCCCAAAAATGGGACCATCAACCTCCCGGCACCCCCTGCCCTCGGATGGGCTCTCCAAGCCAAATCCAGACTGGGAAATTCAGGCTGGCACTGTCTGGCCTCTGCAGGGGGCTGCTGCAGGCAGGACCCTCATCACCCACCCCCAAAGCCTTGGGGTGCTCAGAGGAGAGAGGGGTCTCCCCACGATCCCACTGCCGTGGGGAATTTCCATCTCCACAGGCCCAGGGACCCCCAGCCCCACCTGCAAACCCCCAGACCCGGCTGCAGCGTCACAGCACAGCCCAAGCACCAGGTCACACGAGAGGGGAGGGTCTGTCGCCATCCATCCCCCTTATCCATCCTCCCATCCTTCCACGGCCCTTCTACATCCATCCTTCTCCCCTGCTTGTCCACTCCTTCCTGCATCCCTCCATTCTTCCATCTCTCCTCCATTCCTCCCACATCCGTCCATCCCCTTTCTATCCGTCCCTCTCTTCCTGCATCCCTTCACCTCCTATTCCCCATCATCTCCCCCTGAATCCCTCCATCCCTCAATCCATCCCCTCTGTATTCCTCCCCCTCCCCACATCCCTCCATCCCCCCTGCCTCCCCACCAGACCAGTCCCTGCCCCAACCCGGACCCTCCCCACCCCAGGGGGGCTCCTGCCCCTTCCAGCCCCTCCCAGTTCGCTCTCCCCGCCCGGTACCGTCCCAGCTCGGGGCCCACGATGTAGAAATCTTCCAGTGCCGCCTCCCGGTGGGATCCATCGATCCAAAACTCGCTCTGGCTCTTGGACGACGGCATGGTGGGCTGGGGGCTGCGAGCTGCCTCCAGCTGCTGGGAAGGGGAAGGGGAGACCCCGGCATGGATGGCCGCAGCCCCCCCGCCAGACCCCCACGCGATCCCCCCCGCGCTTCCCCGAGTGCCCAGATGGCTCGGGAAAAACCAGCGCTCGGGATTACGGAGCGCCATGGAACCACAAATCCCCCTCCCACCCGGCACGTACGATGCTTTTCCGAGATAATTCCCCCCGCTGCGGGATGTTCCCCCCTCCCGGCTTTTTTCCACCATCCCCCTCCCCCTTTTCCCACCCCATTCCCACCTGCCTGGGATCCCCCCCGGCTTTGCAGAGCCGGGCACCCACGGGCTGGATCGCACCCACCCCGATTCCTGCAGCCTCCCCCAGCCCCCCCGGCCCTCCACACGCCCCCGGGAATTTCGGGGTGGGGTCGTGGCCCGGCACGTACCGTTACCTGCGGCGCCGCTCGTGTCCCCCCCGGCGCTGCCTCATCCCCGCCGAGGGTGGGCACGGGGGGTCCCGAGCCCGCGGGGGTCGTGCTGAGCCCGCCCGCGGCGCCCCGGGCCGGTGCGGGCCCCCAAAACGGAGCGTCACGGCTCAGCTCCTCGGCGGGGCTTCACGGGGCTGCGGGGACGCAGGGACGGGGAGATGGAGGCGCGCAGGGACGCGGGAGGACGCGGGATCGGAGGGATGCGGGGACGGCAGGATGCCGGGATGCGGCGGCCCGGGGATGCCGGGCAGAACGGACGCGGCTGCCGGGATGGCAGGACGGGAGGATGCAGGGATGGGAGGGTACCGGGCAGCACCGGGAGGCAGGGAGGAGAGGCCGCGGGGCTGCCGGGCAGCGGGAGCGCAGCGCCGCAGGGAGAGAGGAAGGTGGGGAAGCGGGGCCGGGGCTGCGGAGCACCGGGACCCTCCCAGGCAGCATCACCGGCTCCGCCGCGCTCCCGCCCGGCTCGGCCGTGCCACCGCCCGGCCCGGCGCCGCCACTGCACCCCCGCCGCCCCCCGGGGCTACGGGACCCGCGCGGTGCTCGGGGAGCCGGCCCCGCGGCGGGGGCTCCCGGATCGCCCCCGGTGCCGCGCCCCGCGTCCCGGGGAGCGCCCGCAGCCCCGCACCCACCGGGGCCGGGCTGTGCCCCGCCGAGCGGCCGCGGCCGGGAGCCGCCGGTAGCGGGGGGCGCGAACGGGCGGGGGGCGCGGGCGCTGCCCGGAGCCGCCGCACGGTGACGCCGTCGCCCACCGGATGGGAACGGGGGGCGCGGGGGGGAAACGGGAAGGTGGGAGGGGACGGGGCGGGGCTGCGATCGGGGTTGGGGAGGGGTTGAGTTACGGGCCTGGAGTGGGAATGGGCTGGGAATGGTGGGAATGGCGCTGGGAATAGTGGGAATGGCACCGGGAATGGCACCGGGAATAGTGGGAATGGCGCTGGGAATGGCGCCGGGAATGGCACCGGGAATAGTGGGAATGGCACCGGGAATAGTGGGAATGGCACCGGGAATGGCGCCGGGAATGGCGCCGGGAATGGCACCGGGAATGGCACCGGGAATAGTGGGAATGGCACCGGGAATGGTGGGAATGGCACCAGGAATGGCGCCGGGAATGGCACCGGGAATAGTGGGAATGGCACCGGGAATGGCACCGGGAATAGTGGGAATGGCAACGGGAGTGGCACTGGGAATGGCGCCGGGAATGGTGGGAATGGCACCGGGAATAGTGGGAATGGCAACGGGAGTGGCGCCGGGAATGGTGGGAATGGCGCCGGGAATAGTGGGAATGGCGCTGGGAATGGCAACGGGAGTGGCGCCGGGAATGGTGGGAATGGCAACGGGAGTGGCACTGGGAATGGCACTGGGAATAGCGCTGGGAATGGTGCCAGGAATGGCACTGGGAATGGCACCGGGAATGGCGCTGGGAATGGCACCGGGAATAGTGGGAACGGCACTGGGAATGGCTCCAGGAATGGTGCCGGGAATGGTGCCCGGAATAGTGGGAATGGCACCGGGAATGGCACTGGGAATAGTGGGAATGGCGCCGGGAATGGTGCCAGGAATGGCACCGGGAATAGTGGGAATGGCAATGGGAGTGGCACCGGGAATGGTGGGAATGGTGCTGGGAATGGCACCGGGAATGGTGGGGCCCGGCTGGAGGAGGGGGATGAGCAGTGCAGGGGGGGTGAGATGGGACTGTGGGACCGGGTGTGGGTGGGTTTAAATTGGGTTTAGGATGGGATTGGGATTGGGATTGGGATTGGGGGTGGGATGGGGCCCAGGACGGGATGGGAATGGAGATGGGCTGAGACAGGGCAGGGCTGGGACTGGGAATGGGATGGGAGGGAGGATGGGGTTGGGTTGGGATGGAGCCAGGGGTGAGATGGGAATGGGGATGGGATGGAGTGGGGATAGGGCCGGGGTGACACTCGGATGAGGGCTGGGCCCAGGAACAGGATCAGAATGGATTTAGGATTAGAGAAGGAGATGGGATGGGGCCAGGGATGGGACTGGGCTGGGACTGTGGATGGTGTTTGCATGGGGCCAGGGATGGGATGGGAGTGGGGATGGAACAGCTCCAGGAATGGGGTGGGAGTGAAGATAGGGCTGGGGTTTGTCTGGGAAAAGGATAGGAATGAGGCTGGAATGGGGCCAGGAGCAGAGTGGGAGTGGGGATAGGGTTGGGGTGCCGTTGTCCCTGTGTCTGGGGCCACCCACACTGTTGGGGAGCCCGTGGGGTGTTGTGTTCCCCACAGCAAAGGGAGCAGGAAATCCCTCCTGAACAGCCAAGACAATGAAACAGCAGATTTTTATGTTTTCCTATTAAAAATTGGAATTAGGGAGAGCATCCCATAAGACAGTGACCCTCCAGTGGGACTGAGTACGGGTAGACAGGCCCTGAGGATGCTTCAGAACCTCCCCAAATCCCTCAGCACAAACAGGAGACCCCCCAAAAGGCCCCGCCATGAAGGTCTCACCAGCATGAAACATTCTCCTTGTCATGGGCTCCCGGAGTATTTATTAGAATATTTTATCATATCTGAGGGAGGCAAACTCAGCCCCGCTTGATCTCCTCCAGTTGCAACTCCCTTTTGAAAGGGATGTTCGTACAGGGAGTGACCTGCTCCATGAATAAATTGGCTCTGCCTCTGTCTCTCCCTGTCCTGGAATGTTGTGGAGACAAGGGTGGGCTGGAAAGGCTGCTCTGCATAATTGATATTTATCACTCAATCCCAACCAAGCACAATCCCCCCCGTTCATCCCCACAGAATGATGGGGGGCTGTGTTGGCAGAGGGGAGGCAGCTCCTTCCCTTTGGGAATCCCATCCTTGGGCTCCTTGCCAGGGCTCCAACCCCACCACGGACCCACCCGTGGGTGGGGCACGGCGCTGGGTCAGCCTGGACAGCAGCAGATGGGGATGGGAGTGGGGCAGCCCCCGTCCCCTGCACACCCCAGCACCCCAAAATCCCCGTGAGGCGAGGGGTGCCCTCTGCAGCGGCTGTCCCCAGCCGGGACACGTTCCCGAGGCGCAGATCCAGGCGCGGGCAGCGGGAATTGTCCCGTTCCCTGCCGGTTTGCTGGGACGCCGGGGCTGGATCCACTCCTCCAGCCTTTTGTCTGCGGGAGAGGAATTAATTATTTTGTTCTCTCATTACCCTGGACTAAAAATCCATTTCTGAGCAGCATAAATTTAGGTGCCTGAAGTGGCTATTTTAACATCCCGGGAAACATTTCTCTCTCCCTCTCTCGCCCTTTTCCCAATCATTTCTGTCTCATTGGCATCCATCGATGTTCCGGATGAAGCACAAGATGGAGGGACATTATCCCAACCCTGCGGAACGGCCCTTCCTGGGTGGAAAATGGGATGGCGAGGCTGAAGCGGGGTCCCCACGGTCCCCCCAAACCCCCCAAACCCCCCGAGCTGGGGGTCTGGGACAAATCCCAGCGCGGGCAGAGCGGAGTCTGCGAAGGGCCCCGCGAGGGAGCGGCTGCTGCCGTGTGCTGCTCAATTGTTTGGAACATAAAATGGAAATTAATACATGGGGTGACCCCCCCCGGCATCCCCCCTTCCCCCCCAGCGCCGCTCGCCTCGTTAATTGAACGGCGCGAAGCAAATGAGGTCAGAGCTCACTTGAGCCAGACAAGGACACGGGAACACGCGCGGCTGCCGGCGAGGCAGGGCAGTACCTGCCCGTGTTTAGCATTCCTGCCGGGATCCGCTCATTAAAAACCTAAAAGGCGACTTAAGCATCCCATTAGAGCCTCGCCGGGCTCTGGAGCCTTCCCTCGCACTCGCGTTTGCGGGGAGAGCGGCGTGGCAGCCGGCCACGGGGAGGGCGTTTGCAGCTCCTGCCCCAGCAGCGGCTTTTCGGGGCGTTTTGGGGTTTTTTCTGGGGGTTCCTGGAGATCCCGGAGGCAGAGGGTGAGAGATGCTGAGGGTGAGAGAAGCAGGAGAGGTGCTGGAGGCCGGGATGATGCTGGGGCATCCCAAACCCCGTGCTGGAGGCCGGGATGCTGCTGGGGCATCCCAAACCCCGTGCTGGGCTCCGGGATGATGCTGGGGCATCCCAAACCCCGTGCTGGAGGCCAGGATGCTGCTGGGGCATCCCAAACCCTGTTCTGGGGTCCGGGATGCTGCTGGAGCATCCCAAACCCTGTGCCTGGGTCCGGGATGATGCTGGAGCATCCCAAACCCCGTGCTGGAGGCCGGGATGATGCTGGAGCATCCCAAACCCCGTGCTGGGCTCCGGGATGATGCTGGAGCATCCCA